CGCTGTCTATCGCCGGGTACCCATTCCCACCTGGGTGAAGTGAGGAAAATTCGTGTAAAATGCCTTTCCCAAGGACACAACGTCGGGTCCCTGACGGGATTCGAACCCACGACCTTACGCTGCGAGTCCGAGAGCCTAACAACTAGGCCACCGACGCCACGATCTATACTATACTATTACCCAAGTAGACCTGAGAGCATTCTGAAACAATCTCAACTTCGTGGGAAGCATTCAGTGCAAGTGGCCATTTATAGGCGCTAAAACACTAACGTACTGACAAGATTTTTCGCAGTCTATGGCCGGTACCCATTTTCACCTGGGTGAAGTGAGGAAAATTTGTGTAAAGTGCCTTTCCCAAGGACACAACGTCGAGCCCGCGGCTCGAACCCCCGAACCCGCAACCTCACGATTACGAGTCCAGTAGCCTAACCACATGCTTTGTGTTTAGTAGGCTGTCGGTGGTCAGAGGATGTGGGTGGTTGAAGGGTGTTACTGGTGGATGCTCACCAATTACATGTATTTAATAGATAGTGGGTGGTTGGAGGATGTCATTAGTGAATGCTCTCTTAGCTACCTCAGAATTACAAAGTTCTACCTGACATTTTTGGCCGTTTTGAGTTACTAAAACTTTGAAGTCAGACACCAAATGTGAAGCAGCGTGGTGGAATCAGGCTCTCGTCAAAATAATCAAAGTGAAGAAACTTGCATTTTTTGGCAGGTGTAGGAATTTTTATCCAAGTTTTGTTTTTTGACTCAAAACCTTTCATGCCCTTTAAAGAACTCATTTATGCGTGGATTTTTCTTAAATACGTTGATTAAAGGCACAAGAAATGTTGATTTTCAATTGCCACGGACTCTTAAGCTAAGGAAATAACTAATCTTTGGCGGCCATTTTCTCACTAATTTTACCTCTGAAAACAGGTGACCCCCACCTCCTTCATTCGCAAATATCTCGACTTGCATTCAAGATAAATGTATATTTTTTCCATCCAAATAAAGACAAGTGAACAACCTTTAAGAGGATACCAATAACTCTACATGCCCTTAAATTGACGAGCGCCTGATTCCACCATGCTGTCTCACAAATTTTAATGTTCTATCTGCTCTATCAAAATCGTAAGATTATTCGGAATCGTCATCCAGATAATCAAAGAAATACATTCGAAAGAGCTTGACATGCTGTGAATCTCAACATTTTTTACGTCAAATTTCTCCAAACTAGGCACTGAGCAGATAGAACTTTGTCGTAATTCAAGGGTAGCATTGTGTCTAGTTTCTGGGTGGTTAAAGGATGTCACTGCTAGTTCTTTTTTCACTTCTTTCCCTTCGTTGTTTCTGTCTGTACTGTATGGGTGGTTGGAGGGTGTCACTAATGCTTGGTCCTACTTCTTTACTTTCCTTCAGTTCTTTCTGTCTGTCTTACTTTTTTCCTTAGCATTAAATTACTTTTTTTGTGTCTCCACGCTTTTCTTAACTCAAACAAACCAGATACAGTATGACATGGATAGCCCGAATTCGTCAAGACAAGCCTCGGTAGTTTGAGGGATCCATAGTTCCAGGAATATCTTATAAAGATATAGAAGAAGAGAAAAAAAAACAGGACCGCAGGTACAGTTTAACGGATGCGTCATTTCGATTTTTTGTGTTCGACCTACCCGTGTTATACTGTACATATTTATAAACAGTATTATGTTCCTCTATGTATGTAACCTGGAGAAAGTCATGGAAATGGATTTACAGAAAAGTTGGAAGACATGGAGTGACATCAGGAAACTAGCCCAGGATAGGGAGAGGTGAAAAGTATTTGTTCATGACCTTTATCCTGATCCTTGGTGAGAAAAGCAATGTTGTATATGCGTATGACTGTGTGTCCTTGAACTTTCAGACCGTCCAATCCTGACCTTCGACACCACGCCCGTGTCCTCCCAGCCGGGCACAGCCGTCACTCTCGACTGCCAGGTGTCTGCGGTTCCAGCCCTCTCCTCCTTCGTGTGGTCAAAGAACGGTGCTCTCCTGCAGACGTCCAGTGACCCGGTCAAGTATTTCGGCGGCACGGTTGGCCGGACCAGCTTAACCATCTTCAATCTGAACACGTCGGACAGTGGGTTCTACTCCTGCTCGGCCGTCAACTCACTCGGGTCTTCCAGTAGCGCGGCGAAGCAGCTTAGTATTGTCAGTGAGTACCAGGGAGTTTTTGGTGAGGTAGTAATAGCTTGTTGTGAGTGGATTTTTTTGTGGGTTTTTATTTTATAATTTTTTAAAATTTGTGTGTGTGTGTGTGTGTTACTGTGTGTTGGTGTGTCGGTTTGCCTGTCTTTCTCTCTCTCTCTCTATTTGTCTGTTTGTCAGTCTCTCTCTCTCTCTCTCTCTCTCTCTCTCTCTATCTTTCTCTCTCTCTCTCTCTCTCTCTCTCTCTCTCTCTCTCCCTCTATTTGGACAGTTGGTTCTACTCCTGCTCGGCGGCAAACTCACGCTGGTCTTCCAGTAGCGCGGCGAAGCAGCTTAGTA